ATGCCAAAAAGTAGTCATGTTTGCTGCTGCTATTTTCAATGTTTTTGCTTGATCACTGAATATCCATCAATCCAAAACCAAACCAGACTGTTCAGGATGCAACAACCACACCGAATTCCGCAGCCACTGAGTCACTGTTCTAGAATTACTGCGTCGCATTCCGAATTACCAGCGTCCATACGCCCGTCAGTCTAACAAGATTTTCTCCACTGGTTCTTCACCGAAGAGATCACCGCTCTGCCAAATTCAACGCTGTAAATTTGGCTGGACTGAAGCTTGTCCTTGACACCTGTGAAAGCACCAGTCTCATCAGCTCGAACCGCAAGACTGCTGCGGCACATTCCACTCGATCTGGTCTGAGACATCTCACCCCATCACGATGTGTTGACGCCGGATGGCCTGAGGCTGTATCTTGCATCGATTGCAGCTACTCGAAGCAAAGCTTTACTATGGTTTGGAACAAGCCAACGTGATGCATCCAACCAATGGCTGGGCAATTGCTGCAGGTCCTTTGTGGAGCTGGGCAATGCTCATTGCTCTGTGACTGGGCTTTTGATGCTGCTCTGCTGCTTGACTGACTATGAGGATGTCCTTGAACAGTCAGACTCCTCATGCTTGCCCAAGGTCCCACCTCTCAATGCAGTGTTGATCTATATGAAGGCAACGCGCGCACTCACATACCATTGTGATTTCGGAGGAGATTCTTTGAAGCCACTTCAATTGTGGGCATCGTCATCCATTGTGTTTGAATCTTGTGTGTCTGTGTGTTGGATAGGGAGATTGGAGACAAATCAACCAGGGCTGTTTTTCAACACTTGTAATTTATTGTTTGTTAGTCTCAAGGGGGTCCTTGAATGGGGCTGCAATGTTTGAGAAAAAGCTTTCTTCCAGAGGCTAACTTTAACATGACAATCTCTTGTGTGACAGAAGGCATGCACTTGTTGATTTTGCGTGGTGTAGAGCTTCATGGATTGGTCATCTTTTGAAGTGAGTCAGTGAAAGCCTGCGCTATCGTTTTTGTGACAAGTTCTTGCCCCATACCTGTCAGGCGGCACCATGCGAGATCTCGCAAGCTGCCTGCTGAATTTTCTGGACTTATGAAAAGAAAGAATTGGTGGAGCTGCTGCGTTTGTATTCCTGAGGCATTACGCAGATTCAAGATTGTCAGAGCAGGGCATTCGGATTGTGTATGGAATGTTCTCCAAGTTTGCCACGCAGCATTGCTTGATGCGTCAGGGTTTTGATGGTCCACCTGCACTTTGCCTTGGCAATGCCACGTGGGCATGCCTCTTCTGGCCTCTTGAGAAGGTGTCCATCCCGGGAGGCTCTGATGGGTATGCCCTGGACTCGGGTGGCTCTGCTTATTGGGGCCATGTGGTGAACCCTGAGGAATGGCAATTCTTGACTATCGTGTGAGGAACGGTTTTTCATGACTGTTGACTAGTCTCAGCCCCAACCGCTGCTGAAGTGCTATTTCTCGCAGCCCCAAGTTGTCAAGAAACTGAGCTTCAATGAGCTGAAGGCGCTGGCTGAAAATCTCAGTTGCCCCCCTGCCCTTGGAAATTCTGAGGCGCTGGGAAAAATGCCCAAGACTGATCTCGCAAACTGCATTTTGGATCATATTGGCATGGGTGATGATTCGGCGCTCAGAATCAAGGAACTGCTGCGGAAACCTCAGCCTGAGTCAGAACCGACTGGGGCTGCTGATGGTCCTCAATTGGGAAGCACTTTGGATGTGCTGGTCCTATGGGATATGCCGCCTGAAGATCAAAAAGAGTTTCAGGATGCTCAAGAGCTCATTGTGAACCGTCGGATCAAATCAAGTGGATGGACACTGGTTGAGCGCAAAGCCCGTGATCAAGAGAAGCGCTCGGCAAAAAACCGGAACAATTACAGCCAAGTCCAGGAATGAGGAGGCTGACAGAAGGAAGAAATCCCAGAAGCCCAAGGCTAAGTCAAAAAGCAGGAACAAGCGCCGCAAGGCGCTGGACACTTCAAAGCATGTGGACACTTCAGAGCACGCAGCTGCTTTGTTTTTGTTGAGCACCTTTTATTGTGTGTGAATAGCAGGGCAATCAAGAAATCTACAAATGTTTTTTGTAGGTTTGTTCTCCAAATGCAGTGGAAATTCGATCATCGCCCACACTTGATTTTCAACTTTTAATTAGGTTGCAGACTTGGTTTTGGCAAACTTGCGCAATTGATCCCGGCCCTGGACATTGACAAGCACATTGGTTCTCCTATGCAATCTGATTATACACCCAGCCTTCCGCCGGAGCAACTGGAGGGCAACTTGAACCTGCTGGTGGAGCCAGACTCAGCCTTGGGGAGATCAATCGTTGTCGAGGACTTGCAGTACTGCAGAATGATGACAATGACGACATAATTGTTTACGATCCAGTTGTTGCTTCATCATCAGCAGTGCCAGCTTTGGTTGGTGCATCGCCGTCAGCAGAAGTGCCAGCTGGGGTTTTGGAAGATGCCCCTGCTGCTTCAAGCGCCAGCTGTGGTTTTGGAAGGTGCTACTGCCCCTGCTTCATTGCCAGAAGAGCGCCAGCTGTGGTTTTGGAAGATGCCCCTGCTTCATCAGAAGCGCCAGCTGTGGTTTTGGAAGATTCTGCTGCTTCATCAGAAGCGCCAGCTGTCGTTGCTGCTGCTTCATCATTGAGGGAAGCGCCTGCTGGTGGAGGAGGCTGTGGCTGCTCGGCAGCCCCAAGAATCCCGCTGTCATTTGGACTGACATCCGCTGTGAGAACTGCCATGAGTTATCTGGCCAGTTCAAACTTGCTGAAGCGCCAGGTATGAGGGACGCAGGGCCTCAAGTTTCATCGAAGGCAAGTTCGGCTTGTGGGCAGATCTGAAGATTATTGCAGGAATTTGATCAAGCAGAAGAAAACGTGCCGCCAAGGATGAGTGGCGTTGATGTCAGCTAAGAGCGATGGGCAATTGCGCTGCGCTGCTGGAAAAAGATGCGCTGTCAGGGGCTACTCTGTCAGATTTTGTCTGTGTGCGCCATGTCGAGGAATGAGAGGGGTGGGCGGCAGAAAATTGAGACAAATGTTGTTGTTTTTTGCAAGCCCTAAATGACATGAACTCAGGTATGAACAGATTACACTTTGAAGCGCGTACTTTTTCAGGAAAAATAGGAACCAAAATTAGAAACATAGGGCTGGACATGGGAATAAAGACAAAAAGGAAAATAATGACAGTACACCAGGAATTGAAAATGAAAAGGAAACAAGGAACAAAGGATAAGCAATTCCTTTCAGTGTCAATTAAAAATGATCAATTGATATAATTCCTTGCGTGTTCCCTTTGAACAATGATCCATTCCTTTCGTTTTCCTTTAAAAACTAGACGACGAGTGGCCCGAAAGCATTTTTCATCACGTAGGAAGTCAGAGTGTGAGTTATCTGTTAAGTGTTCAGTGTGAAGTGTTTAAGTCGAGTGAGTTGAGGTAGTGTGAGGGTCTGTGTGTGTATCTATGTCCGTGTGTATATGAGTCTGTGTATGTGTGTGTGTTCGTGTAAGTTGAGGCAGTGCGTGGGTGTCTGTGTGTGATGCGGCCTCCCAAACCCCCCACCGGCGGCCAAGCGGTGACAGCCCAGCTCATCGTCGTGAGCATTTGAGCTGCTGGTAAGGGGAGAAGCAGCGTGCACGGCTGCAGGAAATCTCACGGAAAAAAGCGAGCTGGAATGAACGCAGAAAATGCTGAGGCGGCCACGCAAGAAGTGTCTCGAAGCAGTGACCTGTCAGAGGAGATGCGTCCATCGATATACGATCAGAGGTAACATTTCCTTCACTCCAGGATAGCTTTTCTAGGATGTAGTTCACCAACCACTATGCTTGTCATTGACTAATTGACTGTCTCAAAGAAAAGCGCGACAAAGTAGCGTGAGGTGACACACAGCAGGCACTGTAGATGTTTTAGCGTACTCTCGCTGTTCAGCTCGCGACTAGTCTTTGTACACAGAAAAGATAGTGTTGTGCTTCCGCAGAACGACGTCCACACAGGATTTGTCAGGAAGAAGTCACGTATGAGACATGCAGTTGGTTATCATGTGAACATCTTATTATTTTTCATCTCCATTCAGGGTATTTGCCTGGTCTGGGTCTAGCGAGTCTAGCGCGTCGACCCGAAGCAGATCTGGATGGTGTAGGCATCTGTGAAGTTGCGGCTGTTGTTCCTCACCCAGTCTTCCCATCCACTGGACCACCTGATCACTCGCCAAAACTGCCAGGTTTCTCCATGGGCAGCCCAGTGTCTGGTTTCTATGGACCGGTTTGGCCATCTTTCATGGATGAGCTCTGGCTGGTTGTCATGGTATGTCCTGCTTGCATAGGACCAACAGAGGCACACCTGTCTCTGGTCATCATGGGTGACGCTGAAGAAGTGGTCGTCAACAATGCCAAGGTTCCCTGGCATGATGGCTGGGCAAAGAGGCAGACCTACGAGCTAGTGGGCTGCAAATTGGTAAATAGCACATGCGTAGCCATAAGAAGGCTCTGTTTGCCTTGTAAAGGTTTATGTGGGAAATGAATATTGCAAAAGCTAACTCACCAGACTTTGCTTTGGAGCTAAGGGCCTCACAAGCCTCGACCACGGTTTCGAGTCTTATCGCAGGTAGCTTCTCTCTGAATCCAAGTTCTTGCACGAAGCGCTGGTGCTTCGC